CCCAGCTATTTTTTGATTGCAGCCATCATTGTAGTTTGGTGGGCCCGGGCTGGATTCAAACCCGCCTGCTCAGGTGTATGTGGCTGGTGCCTTAGCTGCTTGAACCACAGACGCTAAGCCTGTTTTGGTTTTTTTTTTTTTTTTGAAACAGAGTCTTACTATGTTGCCCTCGGTAGAGTGCCATGGTGTCGCAACTCACAGCAACCTCAAAGTCTTGTGCTTAAGTGATCTTCTTGCCTCAACCACCCAAGAAGCTGGGAGTATAGGCGCCTGCCACAATGCCCAGCTATTTTTTGGTTATGGTTGTCAGTGTTTGGCAGGCTCGGGCTGGATTGGAACCCGCCAGCTCTGGTGTATGTGGCTGGCCCTCTAGCCCCTAAGCTACAGGTGCTGAGCCCATTTTATGATTCTTGATAGCCATTGCTAAGAATTTCCAAAAGTTTGTTCTAGGCTTGATACCCATAGCACAGTGGTTACAACGCCAGCCACATACACTAAGGGTGGCAGGTTTGAACCTGGCCTGGACCAACTAAAACAGCAATGACAACTGCAACCAAAAATAGCCAGGTGTTGTGGTGGGCACCTGTAGTCCCAGCTACTTGGGAGGCTGAGGCAAGATAATCACTTCAGCCCAAGAGTTTGAGGTTGCTATGAGCTGTGACACCACAGCACTCTACCCAGGGCGACATACTGAGACTCTGACTCAAAAAAAAATGGGGGAGGAGTTTGTTCTAGCCTTACTAATATTTTTCATTTTTCTATACTTTCATCACATTTGATATTGTTATTTTCTCATATTTTATTGGACAGTAATAGTAGCCCATAATCCCAGCATTTGGGGAGGCCAAGATGGAAGGGTCACTTGAGGCCAGGAGTTTGAAACAGTCCTAGGCAACATAGTGAGAATAGACCCCATCTCTAAAAAGAACTTTTTAAAAAATAAGCTGTGTGTGATGGCATATCCCTATAGTCCTAGCAACTTGAGAGGCTAAGACTGGAGAATCCCTTGAAAGTGGTCATTGGAGGTTGCAGGGAGCTGTGATTGCACCACTGTGCTTCAACATGGGCTATAGAGTGAGATCCTGTTTCTTAAAAAAAGAAAAAAGAAAATTATTAAAAAATTACATTTTGCTAATTTAATAGATTAAAAATAGCACCTTGTTTATATTTCCATTTTTCACTTAACATTTGTTATAATTGTTTTTTGTAACTGAAATTTAAATGGCTGCTTACTCCTCCCTTTAACAGATTTGATATAGTTTGCTAAACTATTTTCTAGTTATTAATCATTTAGGTTGTTTTATAATTCTTTCTGTTATTTTTTTGCTAAGAGACAAGATCCTGCTCTGTTGTCCAGGCTGGAGTGCAGTGGTGCAATCACAGCTTACTGCAGTTTCAAACTCCTGGGCTCAAGTGATCCTCCTTCCTCATCTTCCCAAGTAGCTGGGTCTATAGGTGTGTACTACCATGCCTATAGGTGATCGTTTTTAGAGGTAGAATCTTGCTATGTTTCCCAGCCTTATCTTGAACTCCTAACCTTCAGTAATCCTCTTGCCTCGGCCTCCCAAAGTGCTGGAATTATAAGCATGAACCACTGTGCTGGGCCTCTTACTTTTTTAGCCTTCGTAGGAAATAATACTACAAGTATTTTATGCCCCTAGGTTTTGCATCTATTGGGTTTTCCCTTTAGGAAGAATCTTATTGATGATATTCTTGCATTAACGTCTTTATGCCTTCGTTTTCAAAGAATTTTACTAACTGGTATTTCTATCAATCTTATATTAGTATGATTTTAGTTATTTTATTACATCTTTACTATCATTGCGCATTATTTTAAGAATGTTTGGGCTTAGCACCTGGCTCAGTGGCTAGGGTGCCAGCCACATATACCAGACCTGGCGGATTTGAACCCAGCCTGGGCCTGCCAAACAATAATGACAATTACAACCAAAAAATAGCCAGGCATTGTGGCAGGCACCTATAGTCCCAGCTACTTGGGAGGCTGAAGCAAGAGTATCGCTTAAGCCCACGAGTTTGAGGTTGCTGTGAGCTGTGATGCTACAGCACTCTACTGAGGGCAACATAGTGAAACACTGTCTCCAAAAAAAAAAAAAGGAATGTTTGTTAGTTGAATAGATATAAAAACCAATCTTAAGTTGTTTTAATTTGCAGGCTTTTTTTTGAGAGTCTCACTTTGTTGCCCTCGGTAGAGTGCTGTGGCGTCACAGCTCACAGCATCCTCCAGCACTTGGGCTTAGCCAATTCTCTTCCCTCAGCCTCCCAAGTAGCTAGGGCTACAGGCACCTGCCCTAACACCCGGCTATTTTTTTGTTGCAGTTTGGCTGGGGCCGGGTTCAAACCTGCCACCCTCGGTATATGGGGCCAGCACCCTACTCACTGAGCCACAGGCATCACCTTAATTTGCAGTTTTAAGTTAACAAATACTTTTCATTGGAAACTTTCCCTTTTCCCTTGAATTTCCCATCTCTTGTCTTCTCCTTATCTAGTCATTTAGAGTATAAAAAAATACCTACCATACATGCCTTTTATTTTATTTCTTGTGCGCAGGTCTGGTCCATCGAACTCATATGTCATCCTGTCGGGTAGATAAGCCCTCTGAGATAGTAGATGTTGGAGACAAAGTATGGGTGAAGCTTATTGGCCGAGAGGTAAAGTTCTATATAATTTTCTTTTCTTTCTTTTATTGTTTTGGGTTAATTTGAGGGTACAAAGAATTAGATTACAATGCTTGCATTTGTGAGGTAGAGTCCCTCTTATAATTATGTCCTGTCCCCAAGAGGTAGGCCATATACCCTAACATTGTGATTCATTAAGTGCGAGCATGCTGATCCTGCTCCTTCTTTCCCTCCCTCTCTCCCCTCTCCCTGGTTCCATGTTCCTCTACCCCCCTCCTTGAATTGATTTGAGTTTTCTTTTATGTGGGTATTATATTGTCTACTGGCCACATATTAGTATGTAGTACATTGGATTCTTGCTTCTCCATTCTTGTGATACTTTACTAAAAAGAATGGATTTCAGTTCTACCCAGGTTAATACAAAAGATGTATTTTTTCATTAAAAAGTATTACATGGTATATATATATATACCATAGCTTGTTAATCCATTCCTGGGTTGGTGGGCATTTAGATTGTTTCCACATTTTGGCCATTGTAAATTGAGCTGTGATAAACAATCTAGTGCAAGTGTCCTTATGATAAAAGATACATTTTTTTTTCTTCTGGGTAGATGCCCAGTAATGGGATTGCAGGATCCAGTGGGAAGTCTAATTTGAGCTCTTTGAGGATACTCCGTACTTCCTTCTAAAAAGACTGTATTAATTTGCAGTCCCGTTCTGTGTGATTTTCATGTGGTTAGAAAGGATTAAGAAAAACTGGGATTTTCTTGGCATTTTATCATAGTGAGTGTATAAATGTTGTTAGTTGTGGTGGATAATCTTATTTTTAAATCCTGCCACTAGAATTTGTCCTGAATTTAAACCCTCTGGCTGTTTTGAAAACTCAGAAGGAATGGTGTGAACTATGAAAGTGCAATAAGTGCATGTTCGTGAACTTCCCTCCCTGAACTTTACTTATGTGGTGGGCAGAAGAAAGCAAAGAACCAAAATGAGAGAAGGAAACTTGATCTATGGAACAAGTCTTTATCATAGATGTTAAAGAATACCTGCCATGTACGCTTCAGTTTAGGACAAAATGAAAAAAGACAGAGGGCTTAGAGTTATTTTTCCTAATATCTAGCACTATGTAACGTGTGGGGTGTGAGAAAGATCTGAAAGACTCTGTCAATAACAACTCAGTTGAGGATATGAGGGCTGTGGAGAAATATGAACATACAGTGAGTCTTGCTCTTCTATCAAAGAATGGCAGGGGAGATAGTTCTGGAGAGAGTTATTGTTCAGCAGTGTTTATGTGCTTAACATGTGCTATGTTTGGGTAATACAAGAGTGAACCAGACATAAATGATCCTAGCTATTATGGAGTTTATATAGAATATAAATGAAAGACAGCCAGCTGTGATGACTTGTGCCTATGATCCCAACATTTGGGAGGTTGAGGTAGGAGGACAGCTTGAGTTGAAGCCAGGAGTTTGAGACCAGCCTGAGTAACATGGTGAGACCCCTGTCTCTAAAAAGTAAAATGAAAAATATTAGCTGGGCATAGTGGCCTGCACCTACAGTCCCAGCTCTTGGTAGTTTAAAGCAGGAAAATTGCTTGATAGGAGTTTGAGGCTGTAGTGAGATATGATCATGCCATTGCATTCCTGCCTGGGCGACAGAGTGAGGCTTCATCTCTTAAAAAAAAAGAGAAAAAATATAAATAGAGGAGAATAAATGTTTAAAAAATGAATAATGCCCAGGTACAGTGCCTCACATCTAATCACAGCACTCTGGGAGGCCAAGACGACTCCTATAGTCCCAGCTACTTGGGAGGCTGAGGCAAGAGTTTGAGGTTGTGAAACTATCTCAAAAAAGAAAAAAATAATAAATAAACATACATAAAATGATAGCAAATTATAATAAGTGCTATATTGAGTTCAAATGATACTGGAGGTAGATTTAGATAAAGTTGTCAGGAAAGGGCCATCTGAAGAGATGGTATATGAGCTGAGACCCAAAAGAAAAGGAACTAGTCATGTGAAGAGTTGGACTAAGAACATTCTAGCCAGAGAAAATAACTGATGCAAAGACCCTGAATTGGAAAAGGTTCTATGCGCTGCAGGAAGGGAAGAAAGAACACTGTGACTAACAAGTGTTTTCCTGCTTAATGGAGCTCTAGACCAAATCCAAAAGATCTGTTTCCTAGAAGAAGCTGCTTTTATTTTCTGCGAGGTTACCTGCATAAGCCTTGGGTTTCTGAGCAACTATTTTTGTCTTTCTCCCAGAAGGAAAGGAATGAGATAATGACTTTTTCCTAAAATTGTTTTTACCTATTACCATATTTTGCTGTGTATAATGTATCCTTTTTTAACCAAATTTTTTCAGGGAAAAATAAGAATGCACTTTGTACATGGGTAGTACTGTTTGTTACTGGTACATAAAATTTCTTGTACCTTATATCTGTTCTTGTATTTTGTAATTATTTGTTACATAAAATTTCTTGTTCCATAATATGTTGAGAAATATTTGCTAAAATTCTTTTATAATACAACAAATAAGTACCTAAATATAAACAAATAGAAAATTAAATTAAAACGAAAAAGGTTTTTCCTGAAAGCTTTGGCCAAAAACATAGGTACACATTGTACTGTGGGAGCACATTATGCACAGCAATATGTGGTATGCTTCTTTCTACCCTCAGTATTCCTCTCACAGTACCTAGTCTGTTAGAAGAACTCAAGGTATGTTATGACAGGAAGTCTTTGACTCTTAGATAATTTTAGACTGGCAGTCTGAATGATGTACTTGGAATTTTTGATGACTTTGCTTTTGTCTTTTTCAGATGAAAAATGATAGGATAAAAGTATCCCTGTCCATGAAAGTTGTCAACCAAGGGACCGGGAAAGACCTCGATCCCAACAATGTTATCATTGAGTAGGTAAAAGGTTTGAAAAAGGTGAAATCCTTCTACTTCCCAAACCATAGAAAGTGGTGGTAAATCAGACTGAATTGAGGACTTTACCATTTATAGAACTTGTGTTGGGCAGCACCTGTGGCTCAAAGGACTAGGGTGCTGGCCCCATGTGCCGGAGGTGGCGGGTTCAAACCCAGCCCCGGCCAAAAACTGCAAAAAAAAAAGAACTTGTGTTATTGGTGAGTTATTATAACCTTTATTATCTTTGTTTTTTTAGAGGTATAAAGTGTAGATAAGAGTTTGCTAGGTGGAGCTCTGAGATGAACTATTAACATGCAAATCTGGCATAGGGGTGTGCTCCGTTGATAGTTTTGTTTCCTTCCCCGTAATCTCTTTGTTTCTACTATTTAACCAGTTAGCCAGTAAGCATTCACGCAGTACTGTTATTTACCTCTCTCCTTATGAGACTATGTTGGGGGATAGGGTAATCTAGGAGCAACTCCTGTGGGCTCTCACATCTTGGGATACACTATGTTCTGAAAACAACACCTTACTTTCATTGGTTCTTCTGACCCTTCGTTTAGGAATAGATTTCCTATCCATGTAGGTTAATGTCTGGTGACATGGGGGATTTTCTGTTTGTCTTGGAATCTTTCTTGAATTTCGACCAGGGGTTCATGGATCCTTAAGGTCCTTCAAAGGAATCTTGGAGGGTTTATTACTATTTAAAAGTGTTTAGGAAAGCCAGCCAAAATCATACATTTATCCTCAGGTTTACCATGCTGTTATTTTGTTGTTTTAGATGACACATTGTTTTTCTCTTGCTAATTAGGTACTATCAATGGCAGTTATTAAAAAAAAAAGGGAAAAGCATAATAACTGTTATCTGGGATGTTGGTGAAAAGTTTAGAAACCCTTTCATTTATAGTTCTGAGCAAAATGACTTTGAATATGAAGGAATTTTATCTAAAAAGGAGGAAAGTGATATTTATTGGATACATATTACTTGTCAGGCATCATACAAAGCCGTGTATGTACACTAGTAAATGTAATTCTAACAATCTGTAAAATGGGCATTATCTCCATTTTACTTTGTATTCCTATGTTATAGGTTGGTGTGGAGTAACTTGCTTGTGGTTTCCTAACAAATATCAGGGACTTGAATTTAAGCGTCTCTGACCTTAAAGCTAATGTACCTTTCACCATATAATGCTTCTGGCTATTGCACATGACTTAGAGTTTTTCATATTTTTGTAGTTTAGTTCTTAAATATTGATGTTTGTAGGGCTGATCACATTGTAATAAATTGCTTCTGTTCCAAAGAATCCTGTGCTATACAGACTCATTAAAAAATAGGAACATGGTTCGGTGCCTGTGCATAGTGGTTAAGGTGCCAGCCACATACACTGAGGCTGGTGGATAGAACCTGACGTGGGGCTCAACGCCTGTGGCTCAAGTGGCTAAGGCACCAGCCACATACACCTAAGGTGGCAGGTTTGAATCCAGCCCAGGCCACCAAAACAACAATGATGGCTGCAACCAAAAAATAGCCAGGCGTTGTGGCGGGTGCCTGTGGTCCCAGCTACTTAGGAGGCTGAGGCAGGAGACTCACTTGAGCCCAGGAGTTGGAGGTTGTATGTCATCGTGGTATGATTACAGATTTTAGAGTTAATTAGAAAGAGTATATATATAAATAAATAAATAAGTAAATAAATATACAAGGTGGCCATAAAGTTTGCATGCAGTTTAAAATAGTGGGCAATTTAAAATTGCATGAACTTTATGGCCACCCTGTATATTTATTTATTTATTTTTTGAAACAGAGTCTCACTATGTCGCCCTTGGTAGAGTGCTGTGACATCACAGCTCACAGCAACCTCCAACTCCTGGGCTTAGGTGATTCTCTTGCCTCAGCCTCCCAGGTAGCTGAGACTATAGGCGCCTGCCACAACACCCAGCTATTTTTTTGTCGCAGTTTGGCTAGGGCTGGGTTCAAACCTGCCAGCCACCCTCCATATATGGGGCCGGCACCCTACCCACTGAGCCACAGGCACCACTCTATATTTATTTTTTTTAATTTGGATTTTCTTTTTTTTTTTGCAGTTTTTGGCTGGGGCCGGATTTGAACCTGCCACGTATGGCATATGGGCTGGTGCCCTACTCCTTTGAGCCACAGGCACTGCCCTTTTTTTTTTTTTTTTTTTGCAGTTTTCAGCTGGGGCTGGGTATGAACCCGCCACCTCCTGCATATGAGGCCAATGCCCTACCCCTTTGAACCACAGGTGTTGCCCTTTTTTCTTTTTCTGAACAGTGTCTCACTATGTTTCCCTTGGTAGAGTGCTGTGGCATCACAGCTCACAGCAACCTCAAATTCTTGGGCTTAAGTGATTCTCTTGCCTCAGCTTCCCAAGTAGCTGGAACTACAGGTGCCTACCACAACACCTGGCTATTTTCTGTTGCAGCTGTCATTGTTGTCTAGGTGTCCCAGGCCAAGTTCAAACCCGCCACCCTCAGTGTATATGGCTGGCGCTGTAACCACTGTGCTACAGGCACCAAGCCTCACCCTCTATATTTAAAAAATGAAAGCGTACTAGTCCGGTTCCAAACTAGTATATGACCTTAAGCAGATTGTTTAGTCTTTCTGAACCTCAGCTTCTTCACTATAAAATGGAAGACCCCATCTGGAGGTATCTCAGAAATGACAGAATGATTTCAGTAAAATTTATTTGTAGGAAGACAGCTTAGCATCTAGTCTATGGTAGTAGACATTTTAATGTGTGAAGCTTATTGTAATTGTTGTTTTAAATGCCTCTAACTTAAATGTTGTTTTAGGGCGGCACCAGTGACTCAGTGAGTAGGGCATCGGCCCCATATACCAAGGGTGGCAGGTTCAAACCCAGCCCTGGCTAAGCAATAAAAAAAAACAACAACAACAAAACTGGACATTGTGGCGGGCACCTGTGGTCCCAGCTACACAGGAGGCTGAGGCAAGAGAATTGCCTAAGCCTAGGAGTTGGAGGTTGCCATGAGCTGTGACGCCAAAGCACTCAACCAAGGGTGACAAAGTGAGACTCTGTCTCTAAAAAAAACAAACAAAAAAGTTTTTTGTACAGTCGTACTATATCCAGGCTAGTATCAAAACAGTCCTTTTACTCTGGCTTCTCAAAGTGCTGTGATTATAGATGTGAACCACTGTGTCCAGTGTAGAAGCCACATATTAAGTGCTCAGTAGCCCCGTGTTTGGCCAGTGCAGCCTTACAGATCTATGGAACGTGTCCATTATTTTGTTCTTTTAGCCAATAATGTATTAGACAATTAGTGTGTTTCTTGAGGTCCCACTTATGGTGCTGAGAGTGAGGCAAAATATAAACAAATCTCACAAAAAGGTCACAGGGTAAAATGCTGTGGAAACACAAAAACAGTAAATTATCTCTGCCTTGTGGTATCAGGAAACATTTCATAGAATATGTGATATTTGAGCTGAACTCTGAGGAAGTTGAGAGTTCAATGAATGGGACAGATATGGAATATCTTTGTCTTGATTTCTCTCTTGAGCTTATGTGTCTCATCAAACTGCTGGCTAAAATATGTGAAATGATATGTTCATGTCAGTTTAAAAGAATACACATGTAAGCATGGCCTCAAGAAGCGATAATTGTCCGTGCGTTGGCTCATGCCTATAATCCTAACACTTTGGGAAGCGGGCTGAGGTGGGTAGATTGCCTGAGCTCAGTAGTTCAAGATCAGCCTGAGCAAGAGTGAGACCCTGGGCTCTGCGCTTTATAGCTCAGTGGTTAGGGCACTGGCTATATACACCAAGGCTAGTGGGTTGGAACCTGGCCTAGGCCTGCCAAACAACAGTGACAACAACAACAAAAAAACAGCTGGGCGTTGTGGCAGACGCCTGTAGTCCCAGCTCTTTGGGAGGTTGAGGCAAAAGAATCTCTTAAGATTCAACCCAAGAGGTTGAGGTTGCTGTGAGCTATGACACTATGGCACTCTATCCAGGGTGACATAGTGAGACTGTGTCTCAACATCAGCAACAAAAAAAACTAGCTGGGTATTATGGCGGGCACCTGTAGTCCCAGCTACTTGGAAAGCTGAGGCAAGAGGATCACTTGAGTCCAGGAGTTTGAGGTTGCTATGAGCTATGATGCTTTGTATGACACTCTACCCAGGGGGACAAAGTGAGACTCTGCCTCTAAAAAAATAAAAGATAATAATAAATAAATAAAAGGCAAAAAAAGAAAAAGAAAAAAGAAACACTAACATTAACCCAAAAGAATACAGTGATGGGGCAGCGTCTGTGGCTCAAGAGGGTAGGGTGCTAGCCCCATATGCCGGAGGTAGTGGGTTCAAACCCAGCCTCGACCAAAAAAAAAAAAGAATACAGTGATAGACACATATGAATTGGTTAGCTTTGTTCTGCTTTTATGTAGCTATCCCACTTTTGTTTGGATAATATAGCTGATTTGACAAAATATTTCTCTGTGTTACTGAACTTTAGGGACCTGGTGAATGATTTGAAAATCTTAGGTGAAGGCAGAGTTCAATGCTAAAGAGATTTAGATAAAAGCTTTTTTTTTTTTTGAGACAAAGTTCACTTTGTCACCTTCAGTAGAGTGCTATGACATCATAGCTCACAGCAACCTCAAACTCTTGGACTCGAGCGATCCTCTTGCCTTAGCCTCCCAAGCAGCTGGGACCACAGCTACCCACCACGAGGTCTCTCTCTTGCTTAGTCTGGTCTTGAACTCCTGAGCTCAAGCAGTCCTCCCACCTCAGCCTCCCCAAGTGCTAGGATTATAGGCATGAGCCACTGCACCCAGCTGGAAAAAGAAAAATTATTTTGGGAGGAAGAGCAAAGAAATTACAATAAACATTTATTGATGCTTATTATGTGTCAAGCCTTGGGCTAAGGTGCTGGAGAACAAACACACAAGTAAGATATTGTAACTTAAGGGCTCACTCTCTAGAGAAGAAACATACATATATAATACAATAAATTGTGATGGGTACTTGGATTGAAGTGAGTGTAGGATTCAGTTAAAGTTTGAAAAAGAGAGTGATTGAAGGTATGCTCTTAAGTTAAATATTTTCTTTCCTTCTTTCTTTCCTTCTTTTTTTTTGAGACATAGTCTCACTATGTCGCCCTCCGTAGAGTACAGTGGCATCACAGCTCACAGCAACCTCAAACTCTTGGGCTCAAACCATTCTCTTGCCTCAGCCTCCCAAGTAGCTGGGACTACAGATGCCCACCACAATGCCCAGCTTTTTTTTGTTGTAGTTGTCATTGTTTAGCTGGCCTGAGCTGGGTTTGAACCCACCAGCATGGGTATATGTGACTGGCACCCTACCCACTGAGCTATGGACACCGCCATGTATTTTACATTTTTTTTTAGATTTTTAATTAAGTATTTTAGAGTTTTGCAGGTGCTCTATGTTATAATAAAGGTAAAAAATAAAAGCTATGACAACTGGAATGTTTATGCTCTGCTATAGAAGTAATTGGCAAACACGCTGTGTAAAAGTGGCACTGTCTGCTAAAGATGACGCCTTAAAACCCAGCTGTTTCACTCCTATTTGGTAGAACTAGACATTTCCAAACAGAAATGCACATACTGCATTTGTCAACAGATGTGTACTAGAAAGTTCGTGAAGTACCATTCAACATAGAAGTTATTTACATATCCATCAGTATATGTTATATATAGTATCTATATAGCATCTAGCTGATCTGACAGTGCCTAAAAAAAAAAGAAAGAAAGAAAAAGAATACAGCAGTAAGAATGAATAATCCCTAACCATTTACAATATGGATGAACAAAAGAAGGCAGACACACAAGTATCCATACTCTATGATTCCATTTATATAATTTATAAAAATAGGTAATAGGAATCTATGCTGTTAGAAATCAGAAATAGGGATTACTCTTAGAAGAGAAATGGTGACAAGAAGGGAGCATGAGATAGGCTTCTGAGGTGTTCATACTATTCTATTTCTTTGATCTGAGTACTGGTAACATCAGTATCTTTAAATTGTGAAAATCAAGTGAGTTGTATACTTTTTTAGTTTTCTACATGGAAATTATATTAATACTTTGGTCAGAAGTCTAGAATATTTTTTTTAATGCTATGGGAAGGAGAGGTGATAACTAAGCTGAGCCTTGAAATGTTTGGATGTGGGCTCAGCGCCTATAGCTCAACCGGCTGAGGTGCCAGCCACGTACACCTAAGGTGGCGGGTTCGAATCCCCAGCCCAGACCCACCACACAACAATGACGGCTGCAACCAAAAAATAGCCGGGCGTTGTGGCGGGCGCCTGTGGTC